GGTGTGGGTGACGCATGCGGGCGGCAGCGCTGGGGCCTTCGACGGAGCTCCCTATGGGGCCACGAAACGTGTGAGGGGTGTGCCGAATTGGGTGTGCGTGACGCATGCGGGCGGCAGCACTGGGGCCTTCGGTGGAGCTCCCTGTGGGGCCACGAAACGTGTGAGGGGTGTGCCGAAATGGGTGTGCGGGACGCATGCGGACGGCAGCGCTGGGGCCTTCGGTGGAGCTCCCTATGGGGCCACGAAACGTGTGAGGGGTGTGCCGAAATGTGTGTGCGGGACGCATGCGGACGGCAGCACTGGGGCCTTCGGTGGAGCTCCCTATGGGGCCACGAAACGTGTGAGGGGTGTGCCGAAATGGGTGTGCGGGACGCATGCGGGCGGCAGCACTGGGGCCTTCGGCGGAGCTCCGTATGGGGCCACGAAACGTGTGAGGGGTGTGCCGAAATTGAGGAGGGAGGATGGAGGGGGCAGCGGGAAGGAAGGAAGGAAGGAACGCGGGGCGACGTCTCTTCAAAACGAGGACCCAACACCACAGGATGGTTGGGAAAAACAACAAACGCCCCCCCCCCCCCCCCCACCCCACCCCACCCCACTTCCCACCTCACCCCCCACCCCGCCCCTCCCATCCCCCTCGCCCCCCACCAAAACAACTCAGGGCGGTGTTTGGGAAGATCCAAGGAGGACTCCCCTTTGCCCTCCCCCAAAACCCCCCCTGAGGAGGGGAGGTGGGGGGGGCGGGCGGGCGGGACCCCCTCCTGACCCCGCCCCAAACAACAACACAAATCACGGGGGATCAGAGCTGTTTGTTCCACGGGGGGGGGGGGGGGCGAGATCTGGATCCTCCGAGCGCGGCGAAGGTAACTTCCCGAGCACCCCGAAAAGCCTCGCCGTGAAGGAAGGGGGGGGGGGGCGGCGAAGGAGTCGTGTTCCTCAGGGTGCGAAGGCGGCGCCCCCCGCGAAGGAAGCGCGGCGCCGGGATCTCAGGAACGGGCGGCCGTCGGCGTGCGCGGGGCGGGGGGGGGGGAAGGGAAGCAACCCCGGGCGCGCAGGCCGCTGCTGCCCACGTCGCACGCAGCGACTTGCAAGCCCAGACCCCCCAGGAGGAAGAGGAAGAGGAGGAGGAGGAGGAGGAGGAGGTGGAGGAGGTGGGATGCCACGATTTGATCACAACGTCAAGCCTCACGTTCTCCGAGACCGGCTTTTCATCCTGAGTCGTTTCATGACGGCCTTGGGGCTCGTTGAGGGGCCTCGGGGGCCGAAAATGGCCTCAAGGAAGCGTCATGATGTTCTCACGACTCGAGGGGTTTGGGAAGGTCGTTTTTGCCCGGGCGTCCCAGATCTTGTTCTGGAGGTCCGCTCGGGGGTTCGTAGAGGGAAGGTAATCCCGAGGTGGGGCCAGGGAACGCGCCCCTCTGGATGCTCCCGGTTGACGCGCTTCCTTCTTCCAGTGGCCGTTCGGGGCGATCTTTCGTCCGACCCCACCTTTGCCCCTGCCCCACCTTTGTGCCCCCCGCCCGATCCGCGCACACCTCTTGGGATCGGCGCGGGCCCGCCCTCCCCCACAGCGCGGGATGCCGGCCCTTCCGCCGCGCTGCCGCGCGCAGTGGGAGGGGCGCCCCACCTCGCGCCTCGCAGCCTGGGCCGCCAGCCCAGAGCTCCTTAGCGTACCCCTGAGATCCTGGCGTCGAGGAGCAGGAGGGGACGGGAGGAGGAGGAGGAGGACGAGGACGAGGAGGAGGAGGAGGAGGAGGAGGAGGTCAACGGGGTATGTATTGCCCTCACGGATGGATCTGGCCCGACACATGGCGCAGACAGATGGGGCCCATCGCTCCATAATTTGTTCGTGACGTCGGACTTCAGCGTACCATCACATACGATGTCTTGGATGTTTTGCATTACGCGGTCCCCGGACCAGCCATTCCCCCCACAGTACGGGGTTTGCATCCCGATCGTTTGTTGGTGGGCCCGGGGCCCAGCGAGGGCCCCCAGAGGCCACAAACCAAGTACGGAGGTCTTTTGAATTGAGTGTTCCTATGCGTGGGAGGCTTAGGCACTGAGCAAAGGACCGTGTTCCCTCGAGATCCGACGTCACGAAGAAATTGCAACATCTTCCGAGCCTGATCGATCAGTGAGGGCCCCGGGGCCCGCAACAAAACAAGATCGCTTGCTGCGGCCAGAATACGACGCCAGGATCTCAGGGTCGGCCCAGCCCTCTGCTCTCCGGCGGCGGTTCGGCACGATCTGCGCACCCCCGGAAGGTTTCCGACGAGGTGCGGCCGCTCGAACGCACCCCGAGGCTGGGAAGCCGCCCAGAACCGACGAGAGCTCCCGAAACCCTCGAGCCCCCCAAAAAATGCGACGCTGGGACCTCGGGGTCGGCCCCAGGGCCACTCCGCCGCGTGGCCGAGCCATGCCCTCCCCGTGGCCGGCCGGCCATGCCGAGCAGCCGCACGGCGTGGCCCGCGAGGCGCCGCCCGAGCCCGCGCCGCCCGAGGCGCCCGGGGCACCGCCCGAGGCACCCGAGGCGCCCGCGGAGGCTGCCAGGCCCTCGCCCTGCTCGTTGTTTTTTGTCGTTGGCTCGTCGTCGTCGTCACCAGCGGTGTTCGATGTTTTCGGGCGTTCCGGTCGGACCCCAGCGGTTTTCCAGCCCGGGGGTGCTCTCCAGCTGCGTCTGCGCCTCGCCGGGAGCGTTCCCGGGGCGCGTTGTTTCGAGCGGCCGCTGGAGACCCTAGCTGTGACCCGAAAACATCGAGACGAGGATCGTCCTCGTCCTCCTTTTCTCCCTCCCCCTCCTCCTCCTCCTCCTCCTCCTCCTCCTCCTCCTCCTCCTCCTGCTCCTCCTCCTCCTCCACTTATTTTCCTTATGAGTAGCTCCTCCCTGTCACACCCCGAGGCTAGTCGGAAGGGCGGGCCTGGCGTTTCGCTTGAGATTTCTTCCCCGCTCATGATCCTGAAGCTTAAAATTTACAACAGTTTGACGGATGTAGGGCGGGTCGCTTTCAAAATGTGGTTCTCGCTTGAGTGTTGCGCACATTCGTATTGAACATGTGCAAGGGCTTCACGGATGGTGGGCAGGTCGTTTTCACGTTGCGGTTCTCGTTTCAGCGCCGCGCACATTCGCCTTAAAAAGTGTACGGGCTCCACGGAGTGAGGGCAGGTCGTTCCCAAAATGTGATTCACGCCTTAGCGCCGCGCATATCCATTTTAGAATGTTGCAAGAGCTTCGCAGATGGAGGGCGGGTCGTTTTCAAAATGTGGTCCGCGCCTTAGCGCCGCGCACATGCTTCATACAACATTGCAAAAGGTTCACGGACGGAGGGCAGGTCGTTTTCAAAATGTGGTTATCCCCTGAGCGCCGCGCACAGTCGTCATAAAAAAATGCAAGAGTTTGGTTAGTGGCGGGCGGTTATTTCGCAGAATGTGGTTCTCGCTTTAGCGCCGCACACATTCGATGTAAGAGTTCATACCCGCTTCAATGATTCCCATGGTTAACGTCCCAGATATGTTACATGGATTTTTGTGTTGAAGTCCCAGGTGTTCTGGTATGATGCAGGACCGTCAAAACGCAACAGTAACGGTGACTCGCGGCGCTGAAGTCCCAAGAATGGTGTTCTGGCACAGCTCAGGATTTACAATTTTTGTTTTCCAAGGGGCACTTCCTTCAGTGAAAATGAATCCTTGGAGGGGCCTAGGCAGAGGGAGCTTGGAGGGAGGGTTTATTGCAATGTGGTTGATGAGCCTTGGGTTTACACTGGTCCTCTTCCTCCTCCTCCTCGTCCTCCTCCTCCTCCTCCTTCTCTTGTTCCTCCTCCTCCTCCTCTTCCTCCTCCTCCTCCTCCTCCGACCCGTCCCATGTGTGCAGTCGCGTTTTCCAGGTCGTAATCGTAGCGTGGCCGCGCGATTACGCCCGCCCCGTTCCCGTTGTCTCTTTACCCGCCACCCTCGGCCCGCCATCAAGAAGTCTCCATCAGATTCAAGTGTGGCACCTTCCCGTTTCTCTCAGGGGAATCATGGGAGTTCACATTGTGGGTCCCGCGCCAGGACCCAATGTCACCTGCCACACAGCTGGGACCACGTGCTGGACCTGAGCAACCAGAGCATGAGACCCGGAGTTCCCCACGCCCCCAAGGGGGAGCCAGGCCTCAAGGGACGAGCACCGCAGAGCCGACGCCATCAACTACACAGCTGGGATCGAGGCGCGAAAGAGAAATCAGCGCGGCAGCTGTAGGCGATGCAGGCCAGCAGTCACAAGCGTCATCAGCAACCACGCTGGAACCAGCGACAGAAAGAGGGGCCAGCTCCACCGCCGCAACTCAGCGAGATGTGGAAGGAGAAGGTAGAGCCCAACCTCAGCGGCTACAGCACTGGGATCAGGGCGCACGAAAACGGCGAACAGCGGCAGGCGTTTCTGGCACCATTCTGCGAGAAGCGGGAGGCGAAGCTGGAGCCCGACGCAGGAGTAATGCGCCTTTTTGAGGGCCGTCGTAGAGATGATCATGATGTCTTTGAGGTATGGTTGTATCCCACGTCGGGCCAGGTATCCCGTCATCTTGCATGCTGCGTCTGATCGTGCCCATGTCGTCCAGGTCGAATTTGGTCTCGGCATTGTAGCCAGTGTGTTTCCACGCATCGTGGATAAGTCTCGTAGCTTTGGTGATGTACACCTTGTTGGTCGCCCCCCGGTGGAAAAAGGTTGTAGACGCAATTGATCGTCCGCACGTGGATGACGATGCACACGTTGTCGTTCATCCTCTCGTGTATGAAGGCGTTCAGGGCGAAGCGCTCTCCGCCCGCCGCCGATGGCGAGGCGGCGCGCTGAGCCCGAGGGCGGCCGCGCGGCGCCAGGGGCGCGGCGCCAGGGGCGAGCGCGGAGAATTGAGTTCTCGCAAGCGGCCTTCTTCTCCTCCTACTACTGCTCCTTCTCCTCCTCCTCCTCCTCCTCCTCCTCCTCCTCCTCCTCCTCCACCTCCTCCTCCTCCTCCTCCTCCTCCTCCTCC